TCTCTTCATGACTGCTCTTCCACCACCTGATAAATTAACAGTAATAGGATTTACTGACCTATTTACAGGAAACACAAGAAGGCACCATTCACAACAAAGTTGCAGAAAGCTGCATTGTTGTTTGTGCCCAGTTTAACTTGTGCCTCATTGGAAAGCACCTACACCCTGACCTAAGAGCATATAAATCATTGCTAAACTATCTCAGGCAATGCTTACAGGAAAGGGTGGCAACTGCTTTGCAAAGCCTGGCATCTATCTCTGTTGCTGGAGACACCCATCAGGCCTCTTGCATTCCATGGATAGGTGCAGGTGCCTTCACCGTCCTAACAGTGAAGTTAAGCCATTTTTCCTGACAAGCATTAAGAGATTAAACACCTGGTGTTAAGAGCTCTCCCATTTAATTTGCTCATGTTAAAGCAAAGATCCGAAGGAAGATGTGTTATCCCTGCCCACAACTCCTCCTGGGCTGGGCGTCAGCTCATCCCAGGGCACTGATTCCTCCTGGCATCCAGGCAGTTACACGATGGGTCCACCAGGAGCCAAAGCCAAGTTCAAGGAGCAAACAACTCCCTTTTGCTCTCTCTCAGCCACATGCACATCCCGTTCTCTCATCTGTGGCCTGAGATGAATAAGAGCAGCTGCATCTTGACCAGTTTAGAATATTACAGTCCTCCAGCCCTGCAAACACTGTTCCCTTTTGCTTCCTTCATGCCTCCCTTGGTTAAAATGAATCTATTTGATTAAGAGTAATCAAAAGCACCCAAATGAATTAACATGCAGCAGAACTTTTGGAAAGCATTGCCATAACTGCTGCCTATCAACAGTGGGGGAAAATGTCCAGTCTAAGCTTTTTAAAATTAAACAAAATATTTTTTAAAATTATCAAACCTTTCAATTATATTGAGATCCAGATCTGGACTTTGATGGCAATTACCACCATCCTCCATTCCTAGGAGAATTCGGCACCCATGCCCCATTAAACACCATCAAAAGGGATAATTACCTGGAGACTGACAGCAATTTAGCCAGTTCACTTATCCAAATGGATAAAGCCAATCAGAAACACATTAATGTGAGGGTCTTAAAACTGGTATTATTCTGTACTGTTGTGCAACAAATGTATTGCTAGTAGAAGGGACTTGGACCATGGTGTTAATTGGGATTGCTGAGGTGTAAATAATGTTTAATTTCATAAAGTCTGGCTAGGATGAACAAATTATTTAGCTCTCATACTACAGCTGAATTAAGAGCTCAAACGTATAAAAAGGGTGTATCTAAGAATCAATAGTGGATCACCAAAACATTTAATCACTGTTTTACTAATCTCTCTGCACTATCTGAACTCAAACTGACTCCTCACACTAAAATCAATGGCGCTAATATACTCATTAACAACAGCTCTTTTGGACGAATGAAACCATCAGAGTTTGAAAAACTAACTGGGGGCAGAGGAGCTGAAAACTGTGAACAGCACATGGGCATGTGCTCCAAGGCTTCCTGGGGGAGCAAGAAACTGCCTAAAAATGCCCTGACAGGGATTTCTACTGCAATCTTCTACCAAGGGTAAGCAGCTGTGACTACATGTATAACAGCACATCCCTGAGAGGAGACATCTGGTTCAGGGACTTAAACAAGACCCGTGGATCTACAGCCACGGCTCCTTTCCGGAGAGAGGCTCGAGAGCTGACTTCAACGCTCAGCGCTGCCCACACCAGGGATTTCTGCACGTGCAAAGTGGTGTTGTTTCCCAGTCCTAGTTCTGCTACCTTGCATCACTCTGTCTCACAAAGCAGACATTTCCCATTGGTTCAGGAGCTATGCAAGACCTTTGCAGGCATCTGTTACTTTTTGCATCCCACACTGCCTCTTATTTCTACTCTTCACCAGCAGCTGAAGAGTTTGCCGTGTCCTCCTGCCAGGCTTCCCTGCCTGCCTATCTCAGCTCTGACCTGCACATCTGACACTCCTGTCCCGAGACTCGTTTCTCCTAAGTCTGTCAGTTTGGCTGTGATAGCTTCTGCTTGGCATCTACAGGCTCCAGACAGTCTCTCCCCAAAGGATTTTTCTGAAAGACACCGAATTTCCGACCAGAGTTTCATCAAGCTGCCTTGCTCAAAACTATTCAAAGATAGCATTTTCTTATTTTTTATGCAATTATTGAACAAATATCAGAATGCAAAATTGCCCCTGGGATTGGAAAATGGAATTAAATCTTCCAACAAACATGAGAAAATGGATAACGATGTCTCTATTAGCAACAAAATGTTTCATGCTTACAAACTGGCAATCTGACACCCCTCCAGGGAATTCAGAATGGTGAGAAAAAACGGTTTAAGACAGCATTAGAAAGAAAAAGAGATATGCATACATTCCAGTGAGACACAAATGGGATGTGGGGTGGGCAGGAGGGTGTCCTTGTGCTGGTCCCACCTTGGTGCTTTCACATGCAGTTGAGGTTATTAGTGAAAAGCATCAGCCCAGATCCTCTGAAGTTCCTAGTCATGCTAAGCCCGGCATAACCAGGCACAGGGGGGGCCACCCCATACAGGGTGCATCCTCCAAGACACTGGTGTGGCCACTAAGCTGTATCAACCCCTGCAAGCAGCAAGAAGGCCAGAGACAGGACATGTGGTGTGGCTGAGCTGCTTCTGCAAGCACCAAGCTCCAGCGTGCCTTGGAGGGCACAGTTCAGACCAGTTTTGATGGCACTGGTTTATACCAGCTGGGCAAGCAGGTGGTTCAGCACCACGTACAACACAATGACAAAACACCCCCATTTCACCTGAGCGATACAAGAACTGGCCCAATGCACAAGGGAACATCTCTGTGACGGACATGGTTTAGTAGTGGACCTGGTAACATTAGGTCGATGGTCTTAAGGATCTTTTCAAACCTAAATGATTCTATGATCTCCAGCGTTCTGCTTTCATACAGGACACAGGACTTTCCTTGGGTTCCCTTCTCAAGCCACAACCCTGGGAAACAACCAACTCCCAGTGTAACAGCCCAAGAGCTGAAAACAGCATCATCAACTGGATTACATCATGCAGTTCAGAAGAAGGAGCACTGTTTGGCATGGGGTGAAGTACAGGCATGCAACCACACCTGGGGGCTGTTACGGTTCAGCTGAAGGGAAAAGTTGGCACTGCAAGTTTTGTGTGTGTCCCCAGCTTTGTTTTGTTGTAACAGTAACCGGGTCATGATAAGGAGAAATCACCTGGACAAAGCTCCCCTTAAAAGCCCAGAAGAATCAGCAAATGACATCCCAGTTGCACAGATCATTTTCATGGCTCCTACACTGGGTTTTAATGGTGGTACAATTCTCAAAGACAATATACAATCTAAAAGCACTCATACACAACCTGCAAAATGCCCACTGGCCTGCCTTCCCTTCTCCTCCTCCTCCTCCCGAGGGCACTGATAACTTAAAATGGCTTACCCCATTCTCTTCTATTTTGCATTTAGTGGCTTTTGAACTTCAAAGAGAGGGGAGAAAACCCTATCACTTCACCATGCAGTTAAATGTTATGCAGCCACATTACTGAAGAATACTTACAAAATACACTGCTAAAATAAACTCCCATTTGAACTCTTCCTGCAGTATTTTTTCAGAGAACTCAGAACACACTGCCCCTTCTTCCCACACAGCACTGAAGCACCTACTTCACTTTAACCAGGTACACGCTCTTCTTGGAGTCAAAAGGACTAATCATGTGCTTAAAATTATGCAATTGCCTGAAGTGCCTAGCTGAATCCAAGCTTTTATATCTAGAAGTTGCATGGCATAAATTGGAAACATTATTCCTGGGTGAATTTTATACAAACGTTAGCAGATATATTCCAAAATTATCTAAGAAATCAAACTATTTATTTTTAATAGAACATGTCCAACTCCAGCAGACTGCTTTGAAAATCTGAAATAAAAATGTGCACAACATACTATATATGAATATGGATATCCCACACACACTATGTGCGTGCTTCATGTATACAAAACAGCAGAGTAGAAATGCTCTAAACATAAACTGAGGATATACGAGATAAGATTTTAATTGTGGTTTTAATAACAGTGAACTGATGGAGCTACCTGCTTATTATTAGCCTTGAAAAGCAGCATGAAAATAATATCTTAACCTCTCATCTGTAACATGGTCTTTGCTAATAAAATTATCCCAGAGTCATGCAAGCACATAGCTGGTGTCAACTACTTAATATGCAGAATAAATTAAATGCCACTTACATATAGCAAAGAAATACCCAGCTAATTTCATGCACTTTCCTGCCGGTCTTTATGCTGGTGCAGACACACAATAAACACGGTCGAGCCCTGCATCTCCTCTTCAAATCCTGCCTTTCTGCAAGAAAATCATCCAAGCCACTGCTCTACTAAAGCACCCCTTTGCAAGGCCACTGTCACTCTGCCCATCATCCTGGGAGTGCTGAAATAAGCTTGATCACACATGCTGTGTCTTTGCAACTGTAAAACACTGTGCTTTTATTATACTGCAAGGAGACCAGGTCCCACTGACAACACGTGGAGCATTGTGGAAAGACAGTAACGGAGATTTGGGAAGAGTGGGGGACCTGGCACACTTATCTACCATTAACCGAACCCTGCTAATAATCCTACTTCATCTTCCCAAAGCAAACATCACCTTGATGAGACAAACACCCTCATCTCCATTTCAATCCAGCTTCATGCTTCCTGCTCCCAGGAACAAACTCACTGGTACCGTATCTGACTTGCTGACGGTGAACATCCCATGGAAGTCGACAGAAAGACTTCTGATAACCGATTTATTTCCACCAGATATTAAAATTCCCAATATTCCAAATCAAATACAGGGAATGCCAGGAGGGATCCTTCCCAAAAGACCACACTTTCTCCTCCTACTTAGTGACATATGAGCAATAATCAATATAAAGAACATAAACAGAGACGAAAAAGTGAAGGGTCCTGGACATCAAAAAACTTATCTGTCAAAAGTGTCTTTCACTACCTGCAGAATAAGGCTCCTGCTTCTCGCTGTGAATGAACTCTTTTCGTTCGTATTTGGCTCTGATCCACTGTTCCCGCAGCAGTCTGGAAAAAAAAAACAGAGAAAAGGAAACAGGGTCCAAGATACACGAAGAAAGAATCCAGAATCATTAATTCTTCAATCAAAATACAAGTGCAATTTAAAAGTTTTCCAAAAATTGCACCGTACAGTCTGGAGTCAAGGGTTTCTTCTGTTTACTGTTGGACAGCAATAAATCATTTCCTTGTATATCAAATTTTATTGGAAACTTATTTAATAAAATTTAGAAATTTAGCAGAATAGCCCGTTGCCACCCACCCAATCAGTCTCTGCACAGAATTCCCTCAGTATATGAACGACTTTAAACCTAATTTCCTCAGACTACATTCTTCAGTAAATGGGATCAGTAAATGAAAAAAAAAAAAAACAACAAATGCATACATAAGAAAAATCTTTGCCCTGAAGCTATCGATATAGAAGCAGAAATTGCATATGCCTTATGCAATGCATGTGCATGATGGCATTACGGAGTTAAAGCTGCAGATATTGTCTCTCTGTCATGCATGGACAGCTATTAAAAAAAATTGTGATATGCCATGTTAAAATTATACTTGTAATGATGAGAGGAAGCCTGGCCCACGGATGGGGGACACTTGTGACTCGGTGAACACAGAGCTTGCTGCAGCATGTCACACATCTCCCAAACTAGGAACAACAGGAATTCAAGAAAGAGGTGACCTTCAAAATGAAAGTGTCATAGGACAGTTATATCCCAGGCCCTAGCCAACCTCCTGGAAGGAACTAGGGTGTGAAAAGTGAAGAAGCCTCAAAAAGACCAGGAGAACATGGCTGGGTAAGGATGAGAGGGCTGAGTGCTGTGGAACACAGAACCCAACCACTGGAGGGTGGTGAGAACCCATCTGGCAGAGCTCTGCCAAACTCATAGCCTGTACTGCCAAGTCCAAGAAAGAAATACATGATGCATGGCAGGAAGTGTGCCTATTAAAGTCCTTTACTCTTCATGTTAAAAATCACACCAATGATTTATACACCAAGACCTTAACTTCCAAAAAGGAAAAAATACCCCCAAAACTATAAATACTTTTCTGCTCTTTTATTTTAGCATGAATGCTGGAGTTAATGAAGTAGTTTAGATCTAGAATGTGCTAGAAATTGCTTCAAACCATTTTTAACTGCACTTAGCTCTTAATTGCCCAAGAACCTTAAATAGCCCAAGCAGGCAGAAATCACATGCAGAAATAAAGGCATGTGTCATCCCAGCTTCACAGCAGACATTTCAAAGTGGCCTACACTGATGACAGTAAGAGATCCCCCAGCGTTGGGTATGCTCTGTAAAACCCATCACACTTCAACACATCAACTTTTCCACCAATGAAAACTGTTGATATGCTTATTACCTTTTCTTTTTAGCCGACTATGGAAACGTAATGCTATCTTTTCAACAGACACGTTCCAGAATTGCTCAAAGAAGGTAAGCGTACTAACACTGCTTATGAAAATTCATCTGCAGGTACAGCAAACAAAATCATCAAATCTGCAAGACACTACTCAATGAGAACTGTAGCCGTAGTTGGTTTCCTAGCAGTAAAGGAGGAATTAATTACATATATTTTGTCCCACCCATTGTTTCATCTCCTTGGTTGGGGCACCAGCCTTCCCCCACAAGGCTCGGGGAGTACCATAGCTTCCCTCAACCCAAAACTAAACTGTGAGCTTCTGCTGTAACAGAAAGCATGCACCAACTCTGCCTTTCCCCCTTCTGTTCCTGTTTTCATGACTGATCTTTACTTGTTACACACACATCTGCAAGTTTGACTGTGAACTCTGAAGACGAACACCCATCTCCCTTCTGCTGTCACCCTGTGCTACGCTCTGGTTTGGGTACAACCCATCTTCAGTTCCTCTCAGGAGGTTCAGATGCCTTTTGTAGAAGTGTGCAAGGGGGCTCTCCCAGGTTGAGCAGGATGTTCTTTCTGCATCTGATATCCACAACACGGCAGCCTGCAAACACAGAAGACTGATGACCCAAAAGGTAGCACTTAATTGCTTGTTCCTATACTTCTGCCACTCATCAACAAAGCTACCAAAATTTAAACGTAAAATCAACACAAATACTTAAATTCTTGCAATTTTTCCAGCCCAGCAGCTGCAGAGAGCTTGTTATCACCGCAGCCAAACTTGGACCTTTTCAACAAGACAATTAGGGATTTAACTAGAAGGAAGAAAATTCACACCACCCTCAGCTCCAGCTGACTTCAGTGGATTCAGCAGGAGCTGCAGCTGTTCTGAGCCTCTGAAAGTCAGCCTTCCAGTACAAATGTTTAAATACAGTATAAATTAAGGTTCATGTGCAGCAATGGGAAAACACTTGCTGTATAATGCAGATAGTACAAGAGATACACTCTGCTGGTCTCACGCCTTAGGGAACACTGCTCTGCAGTGACTTATTTCCCGCGATGCTGTCAACAGCAGTGGTTCAACGTCTCCAGCTTTTGTGCAAGGGGGCCTAAACTGGGCACCCATGAGGCACCTTGCCCAAAGGGGTATCCTGAGAAGCTGCCAAATGCTCTCCATTTCTCAAAACCTCTCCCAACATTTGGGCCAGAACGTGAGTGGCTCCGATGGCAACTCCCACAGCAGACAGGACTGCAGCCATGCCTCTTTCCCAGCTCACAGCAAGCACTTTCTGACAGTTCACATGTTCTTCCCCTTTCCTCATCATCACAAACCCAGGCTCTTTCTGTAATTTTCCAAAAACCAAGATACACCAAGAGCAGCCCACAGTTAAGACCAACTCAGTGCAAGGCCAGTAGCTGCAGCTTCTGCTCCAGTGGTTATTTATAGAAAGCAGAACAACTCCAGGAAAAGAAACTGAAACAAAAACCCAACTAGGACAGCAAGGAATCCAGCACCTCCCTTCAACGCAACAAAAGTTGAGCAGTAACACGACCATGCTCACTTTCATGGCCTGGAGGCAATCCTGCCATAAAAAGCTGCTTTTGAGTCTGGCATCAAACCCTAGCTCCACTGGCATAGCTTGGATAAATTTAAACAGGAGCAGGAATTTCTCCTGGTATCTATGAGATCTGAGAGCAATTGGAGGGCAGGGACCACCCAGAGGTCCCTCAAGCCATGCAGTCTTCTCCACTGTTTTCAGTGGACTTTGGACCTGATCTCCATTTTATTTTAAGTATGTCTTCAGGGGCCTTTTAAACATCTGTTGCTGTGTTTTAGTTGAAATGTATTTTTCCTGAGGTGAATATGTATATGAATAACCCAGGGCAGATATCACATGTCAAACACAGGACCCTCCATCCTAACCCGCCCTTTGATTTCAACAGAAGTTCTGTGAACAGAAAGGACCGTAGAAACAGCCTCATGGTACTTTATTGCATTTCTGATGACAGTATAACATAGCAAATATGCCATTCGTGTTTGTTAAAAAAAATTGTAAGTGCATCATTCCTAAACTGCAAAGATACACAGCTTTTGGGATCAACTCCAAAAGCTTTAACAGCCCACCTAAAGTCTGGCAGGCTGTTGGTTACAGGGAAATGTGTCATTTTTTGGCAATTAGAACAGAAAAGGTCTTTGTAATTATCAAGATAAAAACCTGGGAAGAAAAAAAAAAAAAAAACAAAAAAAAAAAAACAAAACCAACAACAACAACAAAAAAATACCACAAAACAACACACCACCCCAAGCTAAAAACACATTTCCAACAGAATAAAGGAAAATTTGACCCCATGAACGGGCTGCACTGGGGAGGCATCAGGTCCAGAGGCCAACAAAGCACCACCAATACCAAGAGATCCAAATCTCATTTTAGGTACTTGTTTGCTTGCCTGGCCACCCACATGAAAACAAGTGTTCTCTGCCAAAGGGCCAGCAAAGAAGGTTTCAGAAGAAGCCAGTGCAGCAGTTTTATCTTGGTCCCATATACTCAAAGCATTTTGCTCACAGCAAAAAACACCACAGGAAAAGCTGTGCAAGCAGCTTAATATCAAATTGTGGCTGTGTGGCTTCACTGTGCTCTATCGAAGAGTGCTGGCCAGCCAAATTTATAGTCTCCAATTTATTGTTACCCAAGACTCAGCTGGGCTGTCTTTCCTAGGACGCACTACAGTGCACACACCACAGGTGCTGCACGGCTGCTATGATGGCTTTCTGAAGACGTATGACAGAAAAGAAGCCCCAGCTAGAGGTGAAAGTGGCCCAAAAGACATCAAACAGCATCCGCTACCACCCTCTGATTGCATCTTTGTAAGCCACAATCAAGTCCAACAAAGACAAAAGAAATTAATGCCATTCAGGAACACCATTTCCAAAACCCAAATTTGTAGCTTCTCATATTTGTCAGAGATTTTTCCAGCAAAAAACCAATATGCTTTCCACAGGCAGCTCTGTGGACGCAGCTATGCCAAATTTCTGTCAAACAACTGTTTTAAAGAAATTTTAAGTCCGAGTCCAAATTTTTGCTAGATTGCAAGGCCAGCCACTGCAGCGTAGACTAAAAGCCTGTCTAGCTTCACGCTATGCCTCCACATCATCTCCTATCTGCTAAGCCCTTGTTGTGAGGACTTGCTTTTAAATGGCTTTGTGGGGGCATGAGGCAGCTGGGGGGGTTCTTCCAGGCACTCTGTGCATCACCCCAGCTTGCAGAGCCCCAGGAGAGATATGCCATCTACCCCCTCAAGACCAGTGGCCAACAGCAAGCTTCTGAAGGAGAGTAAAAAGACAGGGGTTTTGGTTATGAAGGCATAAAAATCTTGCATTATGGATTTGAAGAAGTTAAAACTGAATTCAAGTACAGCTCAAAATCATAACATGGTCAATTAAAATGCTAACTGGTTCCTTTTTTGTTTGGTTGTTGCACATGCACGGTCCAGTTCACCACAACTCTGTTTTTCAGAATGGTTAGACACAGATTAAAAACATGTAGAAAACAGCCTGTGTCAGTACTACCTTAACCTTGTAGCAATTTGCTTTGGAAATTAAATTAATCCATATGAATTAACAGGCTTAGAAGCCAACAAAGAGTAAA